AGGGAGTACGCCAGGGATGTGTCCTGTTTCCATACCTTTTCAATCTGTATGCAGAACAGATCATCCAGGAGGCTGGGCTCTATGAGGAGAAATGTGGCATCAGGATTGGTGGAAGATTTATCAACAATCTGTGTTATGCAGATGACACAACCCTGCTTGCTGAAACTGTGGAGGACATGAAGTGCTTTTTGCTGAGGGTCAGGGACTGCAACCTTCAATATTGATTGACACTCAATGTCAAGAATACGAAGATCTCACCACTGAACCAACTGGCAGCATCAGGATGGATGGTGAAGAGATTGAGATTGTTCACAGCTTTAGTCTGCTTGGCTCCACAATCAACATTCTTAGCCCCATCAGCCAGGAAATTAAAAGACTTATTGCGATGGGAAAGTCTGCTGGTAGGGACCTCTCTGAAGTACTCAAGAGCAACGGTGTGTCTCTGGAGACTAAGATGCGTCTGGTACAGGCCATTGTCTTTGCAATCACTTATCATGCATCAGAGAGCTGTACAATGACTAGGGAGGATGGAAGGAGAATTGATGTTTTTGAGCTTTGGTGTTGGAGAAGAGTGCTGAGGGTACCACGGACTGCTAAGAAAACAAACAGATTCATCCTGGAGAGGGTTAAACTGGGCTGCTCCTTGGAGGCAACGATTCTGAGACTTCGTCTGACATACTTTGGTCATGTTGTAAGGAGGGGCCAGTCCTTGGAAAAGGACATCATGCTTGGGAGGGAAGAGGGCAGGCACAGGAGGGGAAGACCCTCTGGGAGGTGGACTGATTCGGTGACTGGGGAAATCGGGATGAGTGTGTCGGAGACAATGAGATTGGCACAGTACAGAGCAGAGTTTAGAGCTGTTGTACATAGAGTTGCTATGAGTTGCAAGCGACTTGACGGCATGTAACAACAACTACAACAATTATGCAGATGACACAACCTTGCTTGCTGAAACTAAGGAAGACCTGAAGCAGTTGCTGGATTGAAGCTAGCTGTACATCAAGAAGACAAAGATTCTCAACACTGGGCATTTGGCAACACCATGATGGATGGAGAAGAGATTGAGGTTGTTAACAATTACAGCTTGCTCAGCTCCACAATCAACACTCTTGGCACCAGTAATCAGGAAATTAAAAGGCAAATTGCATTAGGTAACTCTGCTGTCAGGGACCTTTCAAGAATACTGAGAAGTAGGATATCAATCTAGAGAGTAATGTGTGCCTGATCCAGGCCATGGTCTTCACAGTTACTTTCTATAAGTCAGAAAGCTGGACAATGACACGACTAAGGATGAGAGAAGAATAGATGCCTTCGAGTTGTGGTGCTGGAGATGAGTCTTGAACATACCATGGAGAGCCAAGAAAAAAAAATAGGTCTGCCTTGGAGAGGGTGTAACCAAGTTTCTCCTAGAGGCTAGAATGTTGAAGCTCCTTCTTAGATGCTTCGGGCATGTGGCCAGGATGGTCCTTAGAGAAGGACATCATGCTCGAAAGGTGGAGGAGAGGAAGACCCTAGATGAGGATTGATACAATAACTAGGGTAATGGGAGTAGGTAATGTGGAGTCGGTGAGACTGGCTCAGGACCTGCTAGTCTTCAGAGCTATTGTACACAGGGTCACTAGGATCACAGGAAACTCCATGCCACATAACAACAACAAAACGAGGACACATTGTTGGGGAAATGTGAACTTTAAGGTTATGTACAGAGCTTTAGGAGAAATAGCTTTATTCAGGAAAGGGTAGTATACATATGACAACTGCAGAACCTCCCAGGGAGTCTGCTTGCTGAGACAAGAGACAAGGTTGAACACAGACTGTGGTCAGAGGCTTGGAATCTGGTCCTGGCTCAAAAGCCAGTCTTCACTAGTGAACTATATGGTTCAGCTAGGTCGAGCTTTCACAAACAGTGCTCTGTAGGGAAGCCTTCTTCAGTCTATGGTGAAACAAGAAAAATGAGTACTGTAGGCTTATTTGTCTATAAAAAATAAATCTATCGAAAGTGATTGCTTTTACAAGCAATGTTTTTTGCTTTTGTTTTCCCTACCTGACCATTCTTAGATATCAGAATTCAAGTTTGTTCTCTGCTTAAACCTTCATTTAAAAAAACTTTTTAACTGTTCTATAAGTCTGAAAGTCTGGAAACCACTAGAACAAAAGGTTGCTTATGACTTTTCTACCTTGAAAATTGTACATTCCTCTTAAATCACAAGTATTTAAGTAATGTGAAAATAGGAAGAAGGAAAAAGGGAAAAGCCATTTATCTTTTTTTTCTTATTTTACTCAGTATTTATCAAAATATGTTCTGTAAAGGATAAGACCAAGTAAAGTATTATAGGTTTCCTATGGAGCTGTGCTGCCAACCCAAAGGCACATGGTTTGAATCCACCAGCTGCTCCCTTAGGAGAGAGATGGGGAATTTTCTCCCTTGAAAATCAGTTTAAGGGTTAACTATGAGCGAGTTCCAATTTGATGGTTCATAACAACAACCACCAGAAAAAGGATTTCTGGTCACATGAGAATGGGAAAGAGTGGGTTAAAATGTTGGCCAGGGTTCTTAACCAAAATATCCCAAAAGCTGGAAATGGTTCAGAAGTTACAGTCAGGAAGCAGATGTGTACCTCTCACACACATATACACACACAGGTAGACAGACAGACACAAATACACACAGGTACATAGACACACATATATGCAGACATGTAAACATACAGACACAAAAACATATATACAGGAAGGCACAAACATGTACATACAGAGACAAAGACACTCACATACTTGCACACACAGATATATGCTCACAGAGAGATACAGACACGCATATATACAGACTCACACAAAAACAAACTTACACACATACAAGCACACACAGAGAGACATACAGATAATGCCTACACAAAGACACACACAGACACATACAGACACACATAAATACACACCCACTCCCATAAACACACACACACACACACACACACACACACACACACACAGAAACGTATAGCCATACACATAGGTACAAATACACAGATACATATAGGCAGACACAGACACACACACACACACACACACATCCACATGGACACGGACACACACTTTTTGAGGACTCTACACCTATTCCTAGAATTCACTTGAGAAAAGAATATCTGGCTACAATGAATTCCTCAATAGCTTTCACAATTTTCCTCTTTAAAAATATAACATAATGTTAGAAACAAGAAAATTAGTCATTTATTTTGCAATGTAATTATTATAACCTGACAAGATTTTCAAACTACCCAAGTTATGGGGATTTAAAATTTTACAATAGAAACGTGGATAAAAATATCCTGAAACTAGAAAAAGTTTCATTCTTATTGAAAATCATGATTTTTTTTCTTCTACAAAAATTATGTCAGAAGATTTTATCCAGAGATTGCAACATAATTAAAGCATTTGGAATTTGCAGAAGTCTGCAGTAACAAATTGATAGCTAGTGTTCTACTGCAGTGATTTCAAAGTGAAGTAAAACCATCTAAAGGTATAGAATCACTTGTTCACTGCTGTCAAGTTGGAACCAGCTTATACCTGCCCCTCAGTGCAGGTTTTCAAAGGCTGCATGTAATTCACATGGGAAGAGATTGCCCATATTTCTCTGGTGGAGCAGCTGGTGAATTTGAACCTCCTGCCTTTGGGTGGACAGTGTAACTTCTTATTAGTAGGCCATCAGAGCTCCCGTTAGAGCCTGAGAAAACCCCAACTCCTTGCAAAAGGTATTTTGCCCTTGTCAAGTTACTTCATTAACGTGGACAAACAATTCTGAATTCTTACATCTGGTAATAGATCTATGTAAACACTTTCACTGTGACACCAAGGAACAAAATTCTTTGAAGAAGCAAACACAACCTTACAATGTTTGTATTTTTCTTTGCAAAATTTCCTAGCCACAGCATATAAAGGTTTACTATGCCCCTTTTCCTTGTTTTTTTACATCATTATGTGAAATAGCAACTATGCAAACTTTTCACCCTTCATATTTGAAACTGAAGTTTCACTTTACATACTGACAAAAGGTCAGCTTTCACTCTGAACAAGAGAATCCCTGAGCCCCCGAAAGAGAGAGAGAAAACCTAATAATGATCTTTCACAGCCCTGACATTAAAAACTTTGCTTTTTGACACTATGCACATCTAGCTCTTGAGAACTCCGTGGCTCTCTGCATCACCTCGTTCAATAGTTTCCATCATAACTGTACACTAAGTCCCAACCCGTTCTTCACAATCCTGCTGACTACAGCAGTGTGCAACCATATAAAGATTTTACAGCTTGAGAATAGCTTAGAAAAGAACCACTGCAAAGAAGTAAAAGTATATAAGCATTTATGTCCAAAGACAGGCTCAAAGGTTTGTTTGCAGCATCTAAATTTAGAGATTTGCATGTTCTCCCAATGACATTTGTAAACAAAATACCAACACTAAATAATAGCAAGTCAGCAGGGAAAAGGGGAGTGTGCTGTCCAGCAAATCAAACCTTCTTCCAGATTCTGGGGAGAAGTGTCTACAAACAAGGTTCCATGCCTGGAAGCCCTCAGTCTCTAGGTACATGTACCGTTTACACCAAACACATTTTCAGAATAAGGTTCCTTGAAACTGTAAGCTAGTAAGGGTTTGCTCTCTAGATAGAGGAATTTTTAAAAAACTAGATAACTTTTTTTAGCAGACTACAATGCCTGACAACATAATATGTTTCAAAATGCAAAGAAATTGTACTGTTCTGGTCAGGACACTGTGAACTTCTGCTAAATGTAATAAGAAGTTGGTATAAAAGAGCTCCAAATGAAAAGTAAATAACAGAGGGTGGAGTAAAAAAAGAGTTTCAAGACATTTTGTCACATATTTGAACTTTGCGTTGCTGCAGAATAACTCTCTTCCTCCAAATAGTAAAGCAGATCATATTTAATATAAACACTTCAAAATTCACATCACTTAAATATTACTTTAAAAATAAAGAACAGCAGAGCTACTTGCCTTTTGGCAATTTCTGTGCATTTCCCAGGACTAGAGCAATACTTCCACAGAGCAGGAGACAGCCCAAGCTGGACAGCATGTTGCATTTGCCACCTCGCTCGGGCAGTGATGCTGGTGGGTGTCTCGCAAGCGTGGAGCTGCATTTAAGTGGACTGTCTCCCGGTGACAGAGGCGGGCGGCTGCACTAGCGGAGCTGTGGGCTTACTCACAGGGGGTGGAGACATGATGACATCACACCCTTTCACACACACGTACACACGAAGTAGGCACAACAGCAAAAACATCATCACGTTTCCCTCTGCTCTGATGTTTCTGTCTGTCTCTTCTCATCCCTCTGTGAGATCATATTGTAGTTCTGGTTGGTCTAATTTGTGAAAGCAATTTTGAAATAGTTAATAAGCTTTTAAAAATCTTGAAAAGACATGCTTAAAGTTACTGCAACATACAAACTGTAAAAAAAAAATCCTATTAGGAAGGAAACTGTTTTTAATTAGATCGTAAGTCATTCTAGTTCTCTTAAATGGAAGTTGACCAGTTAAAATACACTTTCAGGCATTTTACAGTTTCAATATTAGGATAAGTCCTTAAAAGCATGCCCATGGCTATAGAGCTATAAATTATACGTAATATAAATGAACATATACATATATTTGCATACAGAGAGATGAGGATACTTGCATGAATTCTTTAAATACAGCTATAGAGAAAAGAGAACTCTGGCAGCATGATCTGTAGAGAATTGGACTGCTAACCCAAGTCTGAGTCTCTCTAGAAGTTCAAATCCATCAATGGCTCAATGGGAAAAAGATGAACAGTCTCTTCCCATATGATTGATAGCCTTTCAAATCCTGCTGGAAGATTAGTTCTAAGTCACTTCTGAATTGATGACAATGGGTTGAATATTACAAATTGATCCCCAGCTCTAAGCCAGGCTTTGTAATAATATCTATGCCTACATGAATCCATTTTAATGATCACAATGACTATGCAAGAGATTGTGTCACTCCTATTTTATTAGCAAGAAAACAGATGCTCAGAAAAACATCCCAGCAAAGTCAGGGGATTCAAATGGTTAATAATGTAGAGAAAATCTGGAGTCGATGTCATGGGGGTTTAAATATTGGATACCAATTATTAGTCATGCTCCCTTGAACAAACTCCATCTATATTAGTGTTGATTAAATTTAAGTGTACTCATGCCAGACACTGATCTAATCAAATTACATATTTTAACACATTCAATGACCTCAAAACAATCTGTGAGCAGGCCTTATCCTCGCCCTCACATTACAGGTAAAGAAATTGGGGGTGAGCACCTAAGAGAAGAAGCCAGTGAAGGGGCATTCTAAGCAACAATTAGTCCCAGACCTTCCACTCTTATTCAATATTAAACTACAACAGATAATATCCATTTCATTAATTTGCCAGCAGGACTTAAGGAAAGTACTTACTACAAAATGTTGGAAATATAGGAAGTCTTTAATTAGTAGCAGTCACTGAATATAGTTATAATATTTATAGAAACAATAATTCCATCGCAATAGAATTAAATCAAGTTTGACTCACAGCAACGCTGCATCAAGTTTCTGAGGCTATAAATCGTTAAGGGAGAAGAGTTCCATCTTCTCTGGCAGAACTTCTAGTTGGTTCAAATAATTAAACTCTTTGTTAGCAGCTCGACACATTACCCACTATGCCACCAAGACATCTCCAGACAACAATATAGACCCACAATTAAATTAGAACAATGATTCTGAGCTGGGTTTGTCTATCTCTTAAGCCCATTTGTGATTTCTCACCATGTATACTATAGCCCCAAATAGGAGTATATTATTGGGACAACTAGAGAGATTATTGTCAGCTGGTATAGAGTCAACAGATTTATGGAGTTGGCATGGAGATTGGAAAGGATAATAGAACTTTGCCTAGTCTGTGTCAGCCTCACAATCACCAGCATGCTTGCTGCCCTCATCAGTGGGCCAGTACATCCCCACGAGAGACTTGTCCTCTCCTTCACTCAACACCATGACCTCCCCGGATAGGGCAAGTTAATTCACGATATCCTCCTCTTTATGCAAGGCACTGTGAATATTTTTCGTGTCTTTGCACTAACTCTTTGTGAAGGATTATTTTATAGAGTTTCTGTAGGTGAGACAAATGAACCAAAGGAAAAGGGAATTCTGGCCACCAACTTGCCCCAGATAAAAGAAAGGAGCAGTTAACAATTTATGTGAAGCATCTCCCAAATAAAAAGTGAGAAAGCTCCTTGTTAAGGTCCCTGGAGTTGGCTCACTACAAGAATGCTCTGACACTGATGGTGGGAGTGCTATTTCATAGGTCTTTTTCATTTCCCAATTTTTCACTAGAATAAGTGAATAAGTCTCTCAAACCCCAGGATAAGCATTTATCCACCTAAGACTGCTGGTTCTATCCCATATGCTACTGTCATCAATTTAGATGAGTGTGGCTTCTATGTTAGCAGGAAACAAAAAGTATTCTAAAGGGAGAAACAGTAGAAATACTGAAAATGAAGGCAGGTTAGGTGATGGAATTAGGAATAAGCCTCTGTCTGGCTCTCAGGTTGGGTCCAGTCCACATTAGTAATTATTATCTAGAGTTTTTAATATGGATTGAAGCTCAACAGCAATAAAACAAAGATTCTCACCACTGAGCTGATTGGCAGCATCATGATAAATGATGAAAAGATTGAAATTGCTAACAGCTTCAGTTTGCTTGGCTCCACAATCAACACTCTTGGTACCAGCAGCCAAGAAATCAAAAGACGAATGACATTGGAGAAAGTATGCTGTTCAGAGCTTATTGTGCTACTATGAGTTGCAGGCAACTTGATGGCACACAAAACCAACAAGATCTGGTGTGAAAAACAAAGTACTCTCCAGAGTACTAAAGAGCAATGTGTGGAAACTAAATTGTTCCTGATCCAGGATATGGTCTTCTTATTTGCTTTACATCAGAAAGCTGGACAGTAACCCAAGATGAGAGAAGAAGAATTGATGCATTTGAATTGTGGTGCTGGAAAAGACTATTGAATATACCATGGACTACCAGGAAAACAACTAGATTTGTTCTTTCTGGAGAGGGTGAAACCAGGATGCTCCTTGCAGGCAAGAATTCTGAAGCTTCGTCTGATACAGTTTGGGCATGTTTCAAGGAGGGACAAGTCCTTAGAGAAAGACACCATACTTAGAATTGTGAAGGGACAACATGAAAGAAAAACCCTGGATAAGATGGATTGACTCAGTGACTGGAGAAATGGGGGTAGGTGTGTCAGAGACAATAGGGTTGGCTCAGGATAGAGCAGGGTTCAGAGCTATGAGTCGCAAGCAACTCGACAGCACACAACAACAATAACAATTGGCTCAAGGTTAATTAAGTAGAAGTAAATCTCCAATTATTTTGTGAGAAAAAGATGGTTTGTCTTAGCTAGCAAGATAGTTGAGTATTCCACGTAAACTACTGAGACTTTCCTCCAAAAAGGAAGGAGAAACATTTTCAAGAATTGGACCATGTCCAAAGGGCATTCTAAAAAATCTTCTCAATGAACAAAGAGTTTTCTGTCACATCAGAACCCCAATCCATAAGATTTAATAAAAAATTATATTACAGAGAATCATAAATGCATTGATATGTCAGAAAAAGTCTTTAGATATTAATCATTTAATCATTGGAACATTGAAAGCCATTCTTAAGAAGTGCTCTGATCACGTGTATGTTGGAGATGATGACTAATGGAATAATTGTAAAAAGACTCATCAACAACATGTTTAATGCAGATGATACAACCTTGCTTGCTGAAACAGAAGAGGGCTTGACACATTTGGTGCAAAAGGTCAAGGACTGCAGTCTTCACTATGGATTGAAGCTCAACATCAAGAAAACAAGATTCTCATCACTGGGTCAATTGATAGTACCATGATAGATGGAGAAGAGTTTGAGATTATTAACAATTTCAGCTTGCTCAGTTCCACCATCAACACTCTTGGCACCAACAGTCAGGAAATCAAGGGATAAATTAATTGTATTGGGAGAATCTGCTATCAGGGACCTCTCTAGACTGTTAAAGAACAACGATGTCAATCTTGAGGCTAAGGTGTACCTGATCCATGGTCTTTGCAATTACTTGTTATGCATCAGAGAGCTGGACAATGACTAAGAGTGATAGAAGAATTGATGCCTTTGAGTTGTGGTGTTGGAGAAGAGTACTGAATATCCCTTGGGCTGCCAAAAGAACAAACTTAGATGTCTTAGAGAAGGTGAAGACAGTGTGCTCCTTAGAGGCAAAAGCACAAAGCTCTGTCCTGTCTACTTTGGGCATGTTGCTAGGAAATGTTATTCCTTGGAGAGAGACATTATGCTTGGAAAGGTAGAGGGATGGAGAAAGAAAGGGGAAAAAAGGAAAGGAAGGAAGGAAGGAAAGGAGGGAGGGAGGAGGAAGAAAGG